TTTTTTCCTCACAGCGGGAAATTTGCGACAGCTAATCATGCGCACCACAAGTCACTAGAAGGACCAGTGCCGCATAAAAGTTTAGAAAAGCGTTAGACCTCCAAAAGGATTATTGTTCAAATATCATAACTATATGCAAATAAATTGAGACATGCAAATGAAGAAAGGCCGGCTAAATACTTCAGGTATGAGAAAGGAGATTGCAAGGTACGGGAAGAAGGGCAAGTCTCTCAGCATAAAACGTTATCAAATAATAAATGTGGATGAGGAGTCATATATTCAACTTGGAGCTTTCCTCGGATTGGTCAACTTTCTAACCTCAATCCTCTATCCAATATTTTAAGACGAAAATATTGGTAAGGTCATCCAATAAGACGTGGAAACCATTGCGATGAATACCCATACATGTCGATCCCGCAGGAGAAAGAGTACGGCTGCGACGTATCAACGTACCTTTCACAAAGAATGTTCAGGGGAGACTAGAGAGCCTGGCCGGGCACCGGTTTCCGATTCAATGCTGGCCTTGCTTGGATGTGTGGTTGGTTACCAAGACTCATTCGATGGGTAGCTTCATGATGGATAGGAGCTGCCCGCTCTAAAGAAGACGTAATTGAGACCAAGGCTTGACTTTCAGAGTTGCACCTCGGCCGAGTGTTCATCGTCATTGAATGTTCGTTTCGGGTATCAGGATCGGGCAAGGTGCTTTTGACCTGCCCGTCACTATCTGAAAGAGAGGTTGAGGGACTCCCACACGCGGTTTGCGGCGTGTGCCGTTCCTCGTTTGGCTCTCCGAGGGAGCTTGACACTGGGGAGGAAGAATCTGTTGGAGAGCTTGACGCTTCATCCAGCTTTTGAAAAATTGCCTCGGACGGTGCAGGGTCAAGGATGCGAGACGGCTTATGATCTCCAATGCGTGGTTTCAAAGGATTGGCTGATAAGCAAGTGCGTGGAACAACTCCTTGCTGAGACCGATCTAAGCGGATACACAAAGCCTAGACGCTTATTAGTCAAGTGAATTGTCTGCTCCGACAGGTCAACATACCCAACCATCATCATATTCATGTAAGAGCCGCACCAGCTGGCCAGCATGCAATTCTAGTTCGTCGTCCATAGAAGGCTTAAAATCCATCTGAACCCGATGCACGTTCAACATAATTGGACCTTGAAAAGGTGCATTACCCTTCGGCTGGGAAGGCATGATGCAGCCCGAATTTTTGGCATCTACTGTCGTTGCAGAAGTTTGCGCGGGGTTCAGCTCGGTGACACTTTCGTAATGAGATGCTGTAGTTACTGTTGCCTCTGGATCTGGCCTAGGAACAGCAGATGCAACACCAACGTTCTGACTCTCCGAGGACTGTGAAGCCGTTTCTTGGCCGCGTACTCCGTCTGTCTGTGTCTGGGGCTGTGCCATTGCTTGCGCATCGTTATATTCCCCATGATATGATCTCTCTGCATGATTACCAAATGGGTTTCGGGGATTGTTGAATTGGTTAGCTTCGCCGAATTCCTGTTTCTGCCCTTCTCCCAGCTGTGATGGCAGTACCGACGAGATTTGCTTGGCTTTGGTAGGAGCCACGCCGTCTGGTGAGGGAGCATTGGGCGAGGCGAGAGTTGAGTTTCTGTGGCGGCCAAGCATTGGCAGAAGCGCAGCGACAGGTTTCAGGCTTAACCTCGGAGCGGCCGCAGTCGTCATCACAAGACTTGAGGTTGACGAGCCAGGATTTGTGGAACTGGCAGAAACGCCGCGAGATTTGGTTTTCTCATCATTTGCTTTGCCGTATGTTGATCGCTGCTGCTGCTTTTTTCGGCGAATCAGGAAAAGTACCAAAGCCAGACCCAAGCCCAGCCCGGCCAAAACACCAAGGGCAAGGCCTGCTTTGGCCCCACTGCCCATACTGGTCGAGTTTGAAGAAGGTTCCGGTTTTGCAGTTGTAGTTTCGACAACAGCCGTCGAGCTCGAGGAAGCAGTCAAAGCTGCAGATGCTGCACGTAAATTGCTGCTTGATCCGACACTGGGAGCTTGAACATTCATGTTGCCCTGTGATGAAGCAGCAGAGCCGCGACCAACTGCTGAGCCTGATCCCGTAGGCGCAGCCTGCTGTTTTGCATCCGTAGCAGTCAAAGGGGCCAAAGTCGAGTACCCTCCAATTGGGCCATCAAATGTTTTGGATGCGGTGACATAAACTACGGTTACGATGGTTTCGGTGTCATCTGGTCGTCGTGCAAAAAGTCCTCTGTCGTCTGAATCTTCAATAGGCATTTCAAGCCGTTGTCGATGACGACGAGCATGATGCGTTGAATGTCGCATATTATAAGATGAAGGTCCTCTCGGGGTAAGCTTTTTATAGATATCTTATTTTTTATTTTTATTTTCGCTGGTGGAATCAAATCCGGGAAAAACACATCCGGTTGAGGACAGCAATGAACGATCTTGAGACGAGTGCAGTTGTATTCAGCAGTGTAGGTGCACGCGGATATGGCCTGAAGGGAAACGGCGCCAGAAAATGAATGAATACTCTCTTCACAAACAATTCAATTGTAGGGAATGGACTGGTAAGATCTGAGAAAATGAGTGTGGCAGTGAAAGAATGTTAGGTCCAATTAGACCAAGCAATCAATGAGTGATGAGCATGCATACCACATCAAGGAGGGAGAAAAGAGAAGAGGAGTAGGTGAGCTTAAGTTGGCGTGTCCTGCGCAATTTAGTACGAAAGGTACATTGGCAAAAGCTTGGCCAAATGGACAGAAGAGATTGTGTTCGGTCAGATGCAAAATCTGACAGCGTGACAATATAAGTACGTAGAGTCACTTCACCTTAATTTGATTAAAGGTCATTCAATACCCTTCATTGGTTTTCTTTGGCCCCTACAACGCTTTTGTTTTTCATTGTTATCATGGTCATTGTATTTTGGAGAAATGTTTTCACATGATTGCCTCATCAGCATGCTCTCGCATCTTCGAATTATATGTGTTTACGCTACTTCTGTATACTGAAGAAGAATTAAGGGGTCAGGAAGGGGGCCATTCCATTCTCTACTTCGTTGAGTTACCTGCAATCCAAAGACAAGGCTGTGTATGACGATGTTTCCTTTTAGAGGAAGGTTTGCTTCAGGGACGTAACCTTTCAGGTCGTTCCGTGTGAAGTTAGTCCATATTAGGAATGGTTGGCGACTCCTTTCCATTTTATTTCAGGGTGCCGTCCTGATCTGAGTGTTTCAGAAACGGCCAGTCATCAAACAACCCTTTTTTTAGGGACGTTGGACTGTGACGGGGAAGCGTTAGGAGCAATAACAACAGCACGCCCTACAATGATAATCATGATGCACGAAGCTGAATTTCGATACATTTATACTCCTTCAAAATTTCAACTCATCATATTGCTCAGAAAATTGATCCGATGCGCCCTAACCGGCACCCAAGTGATCTCCTCCTGGTACCATCACTGTCCATCAGTCCTGATAGCCAGAATGAAGTCTTCCAGCAGCGTAAAATGACGGCTATACCATGAGCCATTAACTACCTGATATTAGCAGTGGCTTTGCCGTTCTCTGTATGTATCACGGCGTTTATTCTCCCTGGGTTTGCAACACGAGAAAAAAGGTATAGGGATACATGGGGAATGGAACTTCTCATCCTCCCTTCCTGTTTCCCCTTTCCCCCGGGTAACATTCCTCGCTCTCTTTGTAGAATCAAAAAGCGGCGTGCACGCAAAACCATCAAGGAGATTTGAGGGATAGCAAGGGAGGGGTTCGCCATCATAAGGCATGACATTAATTGCCGAGTTTTAGCAATGCGAACGGATGTTCCTGATGATTCATCTGTGCTTTGGCAACTCAGCAGCCGCCGTAGTTAAAGAAGGTGCAATTTGCGTAGCCTTCTTGTGTCTCTCAAGAGGCAGGATTTTGACTCAAGCTCCGGAGAATGTTGAGCTTTTCTTGCGCGGCGCGAAAGGCAGCATCAGAGTCTGATTCATTTGTGACGGTGTTGGCAGTGTCCGCCGGTGTTCGCACGTTATGTGGAGGATGCTGTACTGAAGAAAAAGAGCCGCTATTGCCGGGCGCAACCTGTGATGGCGACGCAGTTACTGTTGGATCGAATCCTGACTGCTGATTGAAGAAGAAAGCTGGATTAACAAAAGCGCCAGGCTGCAGGCTAGCGCCAGAATTGGGCATTGGTTGATGCAGCATATTCGGTCCGGCAAAGAATGGATTCGCAGCCGCGCCGTAGCCCTGAGGCCACACAAAAGGTTGTGGAGGATAAAAATGCTGGAATGGCACCGGTGCCTGTTGCAAAGGCGCATACTGTCCGAAACCCGCAGAAGGGATCATAGGCGTTGCACCGCCAAAACGATCGGTCGAACTGACAGCGCTATTAGCAGGCATCGCACGATTAGACATTCGCTGGTCTTCGGCGCTGGGACCACGATTTCTGAAATTGCCTTGTCGGCGGCCAGATGAACGTCTATCACGATGCATTGAGTCTTTCGATCCCCGTGCGGGCCTTGCATAGCCGGGGACATCCACTGTGGCGTGGCCCTCCACAGGGGCTTCCCCCCCAGCCATCATCTCATGTAAGTTAGACGGTCTTGCCAAAGGCGTGTAGAGTTCATCCTCTTTGTCCAAATCAGCTCTTTGGGGCAAAGCCTTGAGTCCTCTGTTCGGTGCCGTTATCCCAGGTCCGGATTTTGAAGCTTTCCTTGCTTGCCGCTCCTGCTTTAGTCTCTTTTTGTACTCCGCTTCAGCTTCATCATCAGAGAACTCTACCTCCTCTTCTCCAATTTCCTCATCATGCAGATTGGAAGCATCAGAGCCCTTCAACGCCTTGAGCGGTTGTGTGAAGACAAAGGAAGAATGCCTTTCCACGTAGAAAACTCTCGTACCTGTTGAAATTCCGAGCTCACGTATATCATCAGCGTTTCGAAACCTCACTGAATAGAGAGGCTGCTCAACCCTTCCTAGAGTATCCGCAATGACACCAATGATTTTTCGGTCTTCCAGACAGACAACAGACCCAGACTCTAGGACCTGATATTCACCTGATATCTTTGCCTTGATAAGGATGAGATTTTCAACCACATGTTCCACGGCCCCAAGCTCTGGGACGTTCACGTCCTTGGTAAGATCAATATCTGGTCTGATGACCTCTTCGTCGGGTTGCTCATTCTTCGTACGAAGCCGTCCACCAGAAGAATTCCCTTTTGAGGCCTTTCCATGTCCTTCGTCATCAGAAACAGCATCCTGCATGAGTATCCTAGCCTGTTCCTCCGGATCCAACAGCTCATACTCTTCGTCGTCACTCTCTTCTTCCGACGACTCATCGCTGCTGCTGTCAGAGGATGAGGACTCCGCATCTGAAGAATCAAATCGCCATTCAGCATCCTTGTCTCCCCTGTTCATCTCAGCCGCACGAAGAAACTCTGGGTCGAGCTTCAATCCAGGCTGTGATGAAGTACCTTGATCAGACAGTTGCTGTTGTTGCGAAGGTGTGGCAGCGGTTGTGGCGGGTCCTCTGGGTCCCATATCTACCGGCACCGCCGGGGGTGCATTCACTGGGCCAGCATCAAGAGTGCCTCCAGGAGGGGTAGCAGAGTCCGTTTCCATAACCCCGTCTAAGCGCAAAAGCGACTGAGACCCCTCGACTTGCTTGCCTTGTAACGAATGCGATGCCACAGTACTCTCCTTCGAAACTTCTGCCTGCTCCATTTTACCGAACATGCGACATTCCCTTGCTCGTATTCTAAAGCAGACTTGAATTCGATGCGATAGCGCGGAATGAACAGGCCGTTTATTTTCCAGAGAGCGGTCAATGATCTCTCTACCACTGCCAATCTGGCACGAGAAAATTTTTGGATATAAATTTACCAGATACGCTAACTAGAGACTAAAAAACGTGGGGCTCTTCCTCGCTCGGTCCTTAGGGGTCGTCGCGGTTCAGGTGCGAGACGTGTTTACCCAGTACGTACCGCTCAAAGTCGTTACCACTACCTACCTACCTTATAAGTACAGACGAGAAAATGAATTTGTACACGCTGCGTACCAGAACGATGTGTGCCGGTAGCGTCATGCCTAGATTCATCACCAGGACGAGGCTAGGAGAGGGGTACCGGGGTACCTCTCCACAACTGCGATCTAAGAGGGCCAACTTCACAGGTCAATCGATAGCACCACGAGCTCCCCAACAGCTACAGCGTGGTGCCTCAACATCGACGTTCTTTTTCTCTGCTCCTCGGTCATAATGGCGGATGCCAGGAGCAGCCTCGAGCGCAACCACTCTGATGCCGCTGTGTCGAAGAAGCCTGTTAAGGGGTAATTGTTCCACCAGAAGCCTTTGTGTCACGACGACTCAATGAACTCGATCTGATTAACACCTTTGTCAGGTCGTTGCAGAATCGTACGCCTGAATGCTTAGTACAACCAATTATCGCCTTTTACTGCTTCCTCGGCGTCAATATACTGGCTGCCGCCTACAGTCCTATTCAGGATTGCGATGAGACGTATAATTACTGGGAGCCAACCCATTACTTGACACATGGATATGGCTTTCAGACATGGGAATATTCACCCGTATATGCGATTCGAAGTTGGCTTTATATCAGCTTTCATGCCATCATTATCAAGTTTGGGTCGCTCTTGCCATTTGTCTCTACCAAGACTTCAGAGTTCTATCTCCTCCGCGGAGTATTTGCCCTAATATGTTCTGGTTGTGAGACGCGGTTGTTCTATATTATTTCAAGGTCATTGAACCCCAGAATCGGGATCATCTTTGCCCTAGTCATGCTCTCGAGTCCGGGCTTGTTCCATGCGTCCGTATCCTACCTACCTTCCAGCTTCACCATGTATTCAACGATGCTGGGAATGGCGGCTTTCATGGACTGGAAAGGAGGGCTCAAAACAGCTCAGGGTATCTTCTGGTTTGCAGCTGGGGGTTTTGTTGGCTGGCCATTTGCTTCACTATTGATGCTTCCCTTTCTGGCTGAGGAACTGTTGCTTGCTTGCTTAAGCCGGCAAGGAATCGAAACCGTTACCAGAATAGTAGATGGCACTGTAAGATCTCTGCTTGCACTTGTAAGTTTGTTTCTCATTCGAAATTTTATGTTGATATCGCTGACCCCAATTCAGGCCTTGGAAGTTTGCATTGATTCGTATTTCTACAAAAAGCTTGTTGCAGTGCCATTCAATATTGTTTGGTATAACGTGCTCGGCGGGTCCAGCAAAGGACCTGACCTGTACGGCGTTGAGCCATGGCACTTTTATTTGCGTAACCTACTTCTCAACTTCAATATCTGGTTTATTCTTGCTCTCAGCGCCCTGCCACTGCTCTTTCTACAGTTCCATTTCAGTCATAGCTCGACTTCAACCCAAACTAGACTTCGAAATTTGGTATTCGTACTGCCATTCTATATCTGGCTGACCGTTTTCAGCGTTCAACCTCACAAAGAGGAAAGATTTATGTACCCCAGCTATCCCTGCTTGGCAGTCAATGCGGCAATTTCTCTTCACATTTTGCTCTCTGCCATGGGAAGTTCAAATCCAAGAGCTATTTTTTCTCGAATTCCACCAAAATTAAAATTGGCTCTGGCCACGGCCTTGGTCCTTGTGGCTATTGATGCCGGAGCTTTAAGAGCCGTCGGCATTGTTACAGCTTACTCGGCGCCGCTGAAAATCTACGGACCCCTTCATGGGCTGATTCCTACACGACCGGGCGATACTGTTTGCTTAGGTAAAGAGTGGTACAGATTCCCCTCGTCCTATTTTTTACCTCAAGGAGTCCGGGCAAAATTCATCAAGAGCGAATTTGCAGGACTGCTCCCAGGAGAATTCAGCGAGGCGTCGCACGGTTTCGGCGTTTTTGCTGGCACTTACCTTGTGCCTCCTGGAATGAATGATGAGAATAAGGAAGATTTTGGAAAATATGTGCGTATTCGTTCCACAACATCAAAGGCTCTAATCTAACAATTTTCCAGACTGATTTATCTCATTGTTCCTTCTTGGTGGATTCCTATTTTCCCGAATCACAGACGACTGAACTTGAGCCTCATTATGTTCTTGAAAAGCAAAAATGGGAGGAGGTCATCTGTGTCAGTTTCCTTGACGGCGCTCGCACCAGTCTTTTGGGTCGTACTTTATGGATCCCGGGCATTTCTTTGTTGCCCGAAAGATTTCAAAGAAAATGGGGTCGTTACTGTCTGCTCCGTCGCCGACACGAATTTGCAGATCCCACACTATCAGTAAGCGAAGGCATAACTGCAACTTAGAGAAGATCGTTCTCTCCGGCTTGCATATTCAAATGGAGAGTAGAGCTGAGCCAGAAAAGATGCGCCTGTAAAGACAGGAAGGGGAATGCAATGTCGAAATATTAGATCACCAATTATGTATATTATGATTGTTCTTTCTACCGAATTTTCCCAGTCAGAAATTTTCCGTAAAAGAGAAAACTCAATGGACAAAAATGGAAAGAGAGAAAAGGCAGCCTTGGGATGTGCTCAGCACTTTGCCTAAGTTTCGATGGGTCTTTAGCGGAGGCGGGGTCGTTTAGCTATCTTAGGAAATTGTTTCCCTTCCTCGCTGGCTAGAATTAGTTACAAGTCCCTCCATTGACTGATTTGCCTCTCCTAGGTAAAAGTAGCAGATTGATAACTAGGTACCTTACCTTACGCACAGCAACCTCAACACTTGGCTTGCGGGTTCGGGATTGGCAGAAAATTACGGTAAGCTCTAATTTCGACGAGTAAAGTTCGAAACGCAGTCTCTATCCAATTACCTTATCTTCTCCACCAATACAGAGATAACAATTAAAGCACCGTACAGGAAAGGTAAAGCAAGAGCTAGATAGCGCAATGCCATTCGTGACATACTGTTGGTTCAGCCTGTCATGCATATACATTATCGCGAGATATATATATATATATGTGTGTGCGTGTATGACGGGGTTTGGCATTTGCAATGGCATCGAGAAACATCTCACAGAACGAATATCATACTACCAAACTGCATTACCTTTCAATAAGGCACACTTTCTCACCGCGCTCAAAAGCTCGTCGGTGCCGTCTTCTGCCGCCGGCTAAATCACAACTCTCCGCAGCCGAATCTGATTCTCTCTAATTAGAGGGCTCCAAAACTCAGAGAATGATTGAACTGGCGACCGCGAAAAAGTCTCCCAATTTTTATTATCCAATAGAGAGAAACGGCGGCTTTGCCCTTCACTTTCCGCCCGCTTTATATATCGCCGCCTTTGCCGCGGCTGGGTTTGCTTGGCTTTACTTTTATGTGAACCACAGGGTCAAAGCACGGTCTTCGAGCCGATTACACCTTGGGATACCGACAAGGTCGGCACACTCTGACAAAAGCAAGAAAAACAATCCGAGCGGTTCGTTACAAAATCTCACTCGTTCGAAATTAGAGGTCAAAAACTCACGGAGATCAAGGCTATGTTTCTAGTGATTTTAAGCGGCCTGTAGCATCGCCGTACCCTGGTTGGAGTGTAGAGACTACCAAGCCGCTACCGTACAGGCCCTTCAGATATGGCCCGTAAGTTGATATTGCCCAGTGATCCCAACTACTCTTGTCAATGAGATAAAAATAGCTGATTTCATCAAGGAAATATCACATTACTATGGGGCTGCGCACTATGCAATGGGATGACTGGATAGGTGATTGGTTTCTTGTGCGATTGCGAAAGCATCTGTGTTGACAATTCTCCAGAGCTTGACAACCAATTTCGTAAATTCCACTCAGAGAAGGCTCGACGAATAAAAGAGCGTGGTAATAAATGTTGCAAGACAGCTCCAGTCGCGTTCGATGGTGCTGTGGAATTACTCGAGGAGTTGTAAGTCTTCAGCTTGCCGTAGTCTAATAAACGCTGACGTCCTTAGATGCGATTACCTACCACAGCGTTATCCTAGTCTCTTTCGAAAGACCCCAGCCGGAATGGACAATTTATTAACAAAGGAGTCATTCAACATCTTCCAGCGGCCACTTTCTGAAGACCCAATGGCAATGGCCGCACGGATGGTTCAGGATGATTTAGCGATTATGTTCGAAGGACCAGATGGTCAGTACTATCTTCTTGCTGGAGCTATACTTCTTGCAGGATTTTGGCGGCTCGAAGATAAGTTTGGGATGCCCTTGTCTGAAATACACACTTCAGGCGACGTTCCCGGATTCAAAGAGAAGTTAGAGAAAGGCATGAACAACTTTTTCCGACGAGTGAAACCTGAGTCCCCAGTACTGCGCAACAATTATTTCATCCAAGTCGATGATAATTTAGCCTGGAGTAAGAGTATCGGGGACGAGGATGCGCAGGGAATTGGGTGGAATACTGCCGAGAAAGACCAGGCAATCCAGCACCACTGGTTTAGGAGTGAACGCCAAAGCTTGAGAAGGTAAAGCAAGACTCACTGTCCGCTAAAAGTGGCGCAATGACAAATAAAATCGATCTGATAAGTTTCTTACAACTGAACTAGGCTACCACGCTCCGGCGGCGTGGTGTTTACGATCCGAACGTATTTTCACCCTATCAAAGAGATAGCTGAGGAACCTTTCGTCCCGGGCAGATTAGCATCCGCCATCCGAAGCTGGGGCGACGACGTGGCCAAATATAAAGGACGAGAAAAATATGGTAAAGTACTGCTGGAATACCTGGACAAGAAATCCGAAGAGCAGCAAGCACGTGGTCTAGTCGATCACGGGGGGGAGTTTAATTCGTATCCATTTTGATCAGACTCGAGCTAACCAAGAAACAAACCTACCTCTCGGAGGGTTGGCCATGGGGGCCGTCATTCGCCGAGATTATTCTTAGCAGAAATAAAGGCAGAGGCGGAGGGACGAGATGGACAAACTTTCCACTGCTCTCTAATATTGACTGAATCTGGGAGGTGTGCGTGGACTGCTGGCTAGAAATCCGTTTAATGGTTTACGAATTTTTTAGAGGCAAATTTTCCTCAATAAGTTGAATCCAAATGACTCTCTGGTTGAGCCAAAATGCCTCGCATCGTACGAAATTCCGGAGTGAATGAGTATCAGTTCTTATGAAGTCAAGGCGCTTGACGCCCTATATGACTGGCTTTCCTAGGACGCGCAATTGATGAGTACGTCTAGCTTCCGCAACTTTGGCCTTACGCCATGTACAATCCTCCGCAAATTCGCACATCCTACACTTATAAGCCTCCTCAATCACCACTCCGCGGGCCTCCCTCTCACCCTTCCACCATTTCAGTATATCCGCGAGGTAGTCTCGCAAGACTTTTTCTTCATAATTGAAAGCTTTGATACCCAGGATATTACAACTCAGTTGGCTTCGATATTCCACTCGCAATGTCTCCGCAACGTTTTCAGCTCCTTCTGGTAAGGCTTTTCGGAACTCATGGATCATGGCTGCCCATAATCTCTCAAGCGAATTGTTTTCGATCGCAACACCAGCCATATCTTGTATCCTGACATCACTGGCTTGAGCTTCAGGGCGGATGGACTTTTCGCCGGATGAGCAATATGAATTTTTGATTTGTTCAGTGAAAGACTCGCTGAACGTCTTAGAGGAATCCAACTGGTACCTGGCGAAGATCAGACGGGGATCAACCCGATCAGTTGCCAGTTCTGTCAAAAGTCGTCGATACAACATAAGCTGCATCATTGTAGGTCTAAAAGATACCCCTTTCGGCAAAGAATTTGACGCCCGAGTCTTGACGTCCGTTACAAAGATTTGAAACGGACGCTTTCTCGCCGCAGTCCCAGAAGCTAAGGTATGGTCGGGTTCCTCGGAGAATTGAATGTGGAATTGATTTCTCCTTCGGGATGGTGCCCTTTCAAGATCCAGACTCGCCCACTGGATTGTATCCGCCGGATGCTCGTTTGGGTGGAACAAAGAGAGTTGATCAATGATGCCATTGACGACCAAGCCGTCAATCGTGCCCCATAGCTCGAATTCTCGTGTCATACCAGTTTTTCTGAGCATGCGAAGACCTTGGATATTGTTCAATATCCGGAGACCCATCGCATCCTCGGGATTCCTAACTTCTATCATTACGGGTTTGTACACTTCTTCTTCAAGTGATTTATGAATGTCAGAGCCTTGTTTCATTGCAGAAGTGCGTCTTTTCTTGCCGTATTTGCTCAAAATATACCAATATTGCAATTCGCACCAGGACGGACATACAAGGTCTGTGACGGAGAGCGGCTTTCTCGGAGCTGTTCGGAAAAGTTCCAAAGGTGACCGTTTCCCTTGGCCTGCAATATCGGAAGCATTGTCGTGGATCGATGACGGTTCAAGATGATCAATCGTTTCCCCCGTTACTAGCCTCTTTTTGTCAGTTAGCTGCCGGCTAAGTGGAGGAGATTGCGAAATTATTACCATACGCGGGACTCGAGCCCTCATCATCCTGGGTTGATAAACAAATCCTCTCCCTCCATTTCGTGCTTTGAATTGGATCATTGGATTGAAACGATCCAACTGAATAAGTCGCCGCACAATGCCGTGTGTCAGCTTGGAGAACATCTTTGCTCGCCCCGGCAGCTTGTGAAGGTGTCAACGGTTCGGGTTGGAGAGTTGTTAGCAACTGTTCCAATATTTTCTCCTCCTCTTGAGAGAAATCGGACCCATACGAACTTTCATTAGACTCAAAATTCAGTGTCATCTTATCAGTTCGCCAGAGCAAGAATCTCAACTTATTCTGGTTCAAAAATGGAAAGGTTGGGATGGCATCATGCAAAGAAAGCTGGTCCAATTTTCGAGCCGCTAAATCGAACGACGCACTTGTCGTTTCCTGACTAACTTGCGATTGAGGATTGAGCTGTCAGGGCTATCAGATTGGATCCTATATCAGAGAGTTTGAATGACACGATTATCCCCTAGACTTCTAACCTTAAGTCTATTGGTGCATGCCGTCACACCTTTGCAAGAACCTGTCTAGGTTCGTTGAAGAAGATGAATCATCGAAAAAGCCTGTGGCGAATGAGGACGTAATGAATTTCGCATGATACCAGTCTTAGCCCCTCCCCCCAGCGATAAGGCTTCGCTTCAACGCTTCTTTTGCTACGGAGTATTGATGAACTGATGATGAGAATCTCAAGAAAATGTATGGAGCCGACGTCATTTCGCACGAACAATCGGCTACGAAATAAAGTATAACGCGCCATTTTAGGGGAGAAATGTCGCGTTTTGGAGCTATCTAACGCCTAGAATAATGATAGAGAATTGTTCCCTGCGATTGGTGTCGCAATTACTTCTGCTCCTTGCTGCATATACTAATATCCATTGTGTGTGTTGTTTCATTGATCATGGTGAAGAAATCGGGAGCGAATGGTGATTATTGTTCTACTCCTACATATACGTGGGCGTATATCGGAAGGCAATGTGGCTCTAGGCATCAAAGCACTCACTGGAAGAAATGATCGTGAATAATCTGAAATATTTGGTAATGTACCTCAAAGGGTGATTCACTCAAAATTTTCTATAGATCATCCGCAAGTGTTAGTTATATCTATTTACTTGTTCACAATGATTTAGTATAACTATGCGAAATCAGAGGGTACTAGCGAGTGACTTCAACTCGCTATCAGGTGAATACGATTTAAAAAGGGAAGAATATCGTCCTTTCATGGATTTCGTGCGTAGACCATCATGGTCACCAGATATTGTACAAAGCAGAAAATTGACCATCCCAAAACAGACCCATGAATGAAAAGAAAGCACCGTGCCATTGTCCCGAAATGAAAACAGAAGCCCTTAAACCCCGCTCAAATATCCCAGCAGCAAGTTCCGACTCATTAAAGACGCGCGTTACATCTTTTTGACCAGCACATCAATAGGCCAGGAACTAAAGCGCAGATGTGAAGGAACTCAATACCCAATTAAGAGCGTTCGCCGCGAAGACGACGAGCAAGTTGAATATCCTTGGACTCTGTGGGCAAGTCAGAAAAGGTCGCTCAAACATGCCGGGATGACACTTACGGATTGTGACACGCTTGGCGTGAATGGCACAGAGGTTGGTGTCTTCGAACAGAGAGACGAGGTATGCCTCAACGGACTCCTGAAGAGCGCCGATAGCAGACGACTGGAAACGGAGATCGGACTTGAAATCCTGAGCAATCTCGCGAACAAGGCGCTGGAAAGGGAGCTTTCGGATCAGAAGCTCGGTAGACTTCTGGTACCGACGAATCTCACGAAGAGCGACAGTACCTAGGATAATGTTAGGATGAGGTTATTAAAAGGTCTCAGTTTGTTCGATGAAAGCCTTACCAGGCTTGTAGCGGTGAGGCTTCTTGACACCACCAGTGGAGGGGGCAGACTTGCGAGCAGCCTTAGAAGCCAGCTGCTTACGAGGGGCCTTGCCACCAGTCGACTTGCCTTCGGTATTGTCAGTATATTAATGAATTAAAAATAGTTACATGAACTTACGGGCAGTTTGCTTAGTACGAGCCATGATGCGACCAGCAAGTGATTAAAGATTTGATGGGATTTGATGTAAAGTTGAAATGTGTAATGAAACGAGGTCGCGATCGTTGAATTGTGGCGTGGATGTAAAGGAGAAGCGAGGAGGAAGGGTAGTGTGAGGTTTATGTAGGGATTCGCTTGAGAGGGGTGATCTGGCGCGCCCCTCCCACTCTAGGCAGATACGTGCCACTCGCTAGCGTGTTATTTGTGTCGAAGTTTCGACTGGAAAGCGACTTGGAATTTGGACAATTTACTGCCGAGCTTTCTGCGCCGTAACGGCTTCGGAAATCTGACAATCGCCCAATTGAGTACAGCTAATTTAGACGAGATTCTTTCCATAAGCGGTTAGCGAACCACCAGCGAGAAAGCCCCTGGTTTTCCCCGTAAGTATCGTGGGGATGCGAGGCTTGTACTACACGTACTTCAGTACCTCCATGCGCTAAACATTAGGTAGGGAGGTACCTACCTAGTATCGATATATTGCATCTTTTTGAATACCTTTTCTACGGATTGATCTCAGCGAGTCACAATTTGTTGCAATTTATTTGTCCTTTTTGGGGGAATTATTGTTCTACTAGAATTCTTATGATATAACTATCCTCTATGAAACATTTTGCATATCCCCTCTTGATGCTGACTCAAAATGCTAGTGAGTTTCTACATGTACTTCGAATCTCGTCTATCCTAAAGCCTTATGGGTAAGTTACCGCTACGCAGCCCGCAATTGGACGGTTGGGTAGACCACCAGGGTTAGGTGAGTGATCTAGAATTACCTCGTGTCTGGAGAATCACCATGTTCGCTTCTGGTTTAGCTCATTCTTTCCCAGTGATCCTCTAGTGATTTGGCGACTTCGCAGAAGCAACCTCAAATAGCCGCTCATCCCAATCGCCTCTATTTCACACTAAAGTGCCAGGAAGTTTCGATTTCAACGATTAATTACAGATAATCCCCACATTTGCCTCACTTTCGATCAATCTAAAACAATGACTGGACGTAAGTTTTCAATGTTCGGAGTAGCTTTCAATTATTGACGCTTTTGAAGGTGGCAAGGGCGGAAAGGGCCTTGGAAAGGGGGGTGCCAAGCGTCACCGGAAGATCCTTCGTGACAACATTCAGGGTATTACAAAGCCTGCAATCCGTCGTCTCGCACGTCGTGGTGGTGTCAAGCGTATCTCAGCTAGTAAGTCCATTCTTACGGCAATCTGTATGAATTGTTTCTTACCAAGATATTTAGTGATCTACGAGGAGACCCGTGGTGTTCTGAAATCCTTCTTGGAGAGCGTCATCCGCGATGCAGTGACGTACACCGAACACGCCAAGCGTAAAACCGTTACATCTCTGGATGTAGTGTATGCCCTCAAGAGACAAGGCCGTAAGTTTCATGCAGGTTTTTTAAATATTGATACATCATCTAAGCTCTTCTGCAGGCACTCTTTACGGTTTCGGTGGATAAATTTCTTTCTTTCATGATCTCAGATGTTTTGCATTGGCGGGCTTGTCTGTTCGCTCGTCGGATATTCGACGGTGTGATGGTGCTCGATGACTGGGTATGGTTTGCCACGGTTTTTTAATGGTTTTTGGTCTGTATCATAGGGTCTTTGGCGTTGTGTGACATGGAAAGAGACCTGATCGATCCGTCTCGTGCGGTTATTTAGTCGCGACACAACTTGAAACGCGGTTACGATTGGTTTAGTGAAATTTACTCGTATCTTCAATGATTGAATTTCCTGCAATAGTAGTGTGCTGTGATTTCCTGATTTACGTAGCTGTCTGTCTTCGATATGTATTACTTTTGTTAGGCACTCACCTGATGATTGGAGCTGCGTACGTCTCATTGGCGGCGGCTCCTACGCGCTCTGTGTTTTTCGTCCCACTTTGCTTATCCAGGTGTACGTGCATTGTTTTCGTATAAATTTCAAAAGTTCCGTCGCTCAAGTGTTGAGAAATTGAATATAGAGAGCTGGACCAGCATACGATCCGCGCTCTGTTTTGACTTGGCTAAACCCGCGGCACAACTTGCTAACACTTGGTTTTTTGGGTCAAAAGAAATTTTGAACAGGCTGTGCTCTAGCAATTAGAAGTGAAAGGCTTTAATTTGATAGGGAGCCTTTTGACAAGTCAAACCTCACTTTGCTGGATGAAATTAATCTTTCATAATGGTATCAACTAGGAATTGTCCATGGGTATTCCTTCTTGGAAGAGATAAATGAGACCCGTCGATCATTCCACATTAGCAGTATTAATCGGAGCAGGATATGCACGATATGCCGGTACTAATAATGATAATCACGTGTGGGAGCAGAAGCACGATATATTATATGCTATTCAAATAGGTCATACAGTAGCGCTGACAGTGACCGTTAAGAAATAAGTCAATATAGAACTACGGTGTATGTGTGAAATTGAGAGGATGATAAATGAATACATTTTGATTGTATACGTGCAAGAAGGGGCGATATGCCAGTATCTGTGGGGCCTTTTTTTTTTTTTTTTTTTTGGGCGAAACCAACATTTTATAGATATCTTTGTGCTGTTTTAATGATATGCTTATATTTTTTTATTGTTAATATTTGAAAGAATTATCATTTCAGCTATGCATGTGATTTCCCTCATACTATTTGGATGCAGTAATTGCGAGCCTATGGCCTCGATTTAAATCAACATACTAGAGAGAGCCCCGTTACAACATCACTCACTACCTAATGTTTATAGAAGTCAAGTCTTGCCTCGACTTTCAACACGGCATATTACATGTCCAAGCCACACACTGGATTGCCGAAGAAATCTAGCCAGCAATAAGTGTGGCTATGCAACTTCGCAACATTACAATGCTAGGGTGCGGAGGGTCCGTGCTATCCGACAGAAGGAATGCCCGGCATGACCGAGTGCAAAAAGAAACAGAGGGCTCGATCTGCTGACACTGCGCGCTCGTTCCTACCCTCCCGACCTCGGTTCAAGCTCCCCGAAACAGAAGATTGGACCAAAAAGAGGAAAAGATAGGACCTTCTAGAATGACGCTAGAAGATAATCAGTGACCCGCGTATAGACCATGACGTCAGTATCTCATACCAACCCTCCATGAGACTTGTGCAAGCATGACGATCCCAGCAACTTCGGTGAAGGCGAAGAAGAAGAATGCGATGATGATGATTCTGATAACAACCACAAATTAATTGTCACGAGAGAGGATGCCACAATACAATTTAAGCAAATAATCAAATTTAGACATTCAATTCGAATGACCTAACGAACTTCTATTCATCACTTACATGAATAGAGAAGAGCCCCTATCATTGTTCCTCATAATTCCGATAGAGCAGTCTCCCATCACTACATCATAGGTCGAGTCATACCTCTAACCGGGATATGGCCCCTGCGTTACAGCTGACGTTTTCACACCAATGTTAGAGCCTCGAGTGACGCGCATCTCGTTCTTGGACAATTTCTAAGCCATTCCATCAGCGGATTTCTAGTTCCCTGCCCACACCATCTGCTTCTCCCCCGGAGCACTTCTCGGGCCGAGGACTAATCAAAGCCCGACTCTCCCTGAGGTGCTCACCTAGGACTCCTACGTAGTATATCCAGGTCAGATTTCGCCACCCGCCTTAACTTGACCGTCCTCTCTGCACAATACTATGCTTTTGAGCTACACGCACCAACACAAGTTTACATCAAACAATCATCTATTCCACTTCGACCAAATATCGCCCATATTGCTGAATTCACCAACGAGGGAAATCCCCAGGGCATCTTTGCCAAATCAAAGCTCGACCCTTTCTGATCAGTCGTTATAAATCGAGCTCAGCTCCGTGACGCAGAACCGCACCGAAGCAGGCAATTCCATGTCGACGTATTTCACATCACCGAACCGCAATCAAATCCGAAGAGAAGAAATAATATTTCCGCCTGGTCTGACACATCCCACAGCACAGTACTCGTCGCAGTGCAGTCCGATGCCGTCGACTTCTGGATTGCACCATAGCGATTGGCAGTCCTTTGGGGGACTCGCCCATTTCCGACCACAAGGCACACAATCGCATCCTCCAAAGCCGTCAAGTACGAAGACGCATAGTCGAGCTTTGTCAGGATCGTCCGTAGGATCAAATGGACCGGCATCCCCTCTTGACCAAGCCATTTGTCATCCACATATCGTTCATCAGGATAACCCTTCACTATCTCCCCCTGGTGTCGATTCTGGAATAGACCCCACGACTTTGGAACCAACTATTTCGACACCGATAAAACTAGTCAAACCCCCGCCCACTCCAACGCATACACCAACTCGAGACTCTTTCCTGGCACCGGCATTTCAGAACTATAATCCGTCGAGCCCCAACTCACAATCGAATTTGGCTGCGCAAATGGTAATGAAGCAAGCTCTGATGGACGAACAACATGGGACTGCTGAGGATGAAATTCCTGGATTTGCTTATTCAGGACGACACTCTGTCTCAAGTATGGGGCACGACTCTCCCGCGACTCCGCGAACAAACTATGGTGAGGGCGCTGAAGACTTTGCGCAATCATCCCAAGCTGGTGAGGATCTACCGTTGGCATCAGTAGCGGGGTCTCAGTACTTACCGCTCAACGATACCCTAGATTTCCGCACAGTGCCCAAGCTTGGCAGGACCATTTCAGACATTTATCAGGACGAACTTTTTAATCCCCAATCATCAATACCCACGTCCGTTCCTCCGCCACGCCGTCCGCCAAACAGCATCAATCTCCTATCACCGTACAGAAACGTATTCACCGAACGAATACAAGATGCAAATACAGGTCATATGAATGCAAAATCTCAGTCTCCCGGGAAGGCCTTACCCCGCGAGCGTTCTCCCTTCCGCCAAGGATCACCGTTCGCTCCTCAGATGAGTAGCTATCCACAACCACGATCACAGACTGGTCTCGGATCAGCTGCTCAGCTGCGTGAGTTACAGAAAGCCGAAACCGACGCCCGGGCTTTACGGCCACAGGAGCCAGAAGGAGATGATCTCAGCACGAAGACCATATCCCCCAAGGACGCTCTACTGGATTATCACGAGTCCGAGGAGGATACTAAAATGCCGTTGTTCCACAGCGCAGACGTGGAAAATTACAGCCCCACCCAGCAACCCGGAACTGGTTTCAGTCCGAACAATATACGCAGTGACTTGGAGGATGATGGAACCGATCAAAGTTTCGCCAGTATGGCGACGAGTAGGAGACCAAGTAGCTCCAGTTACTCGACCACCTCTGGGCCACTTCAGCACAGTGTAAACTTCCCATTAGTTCCTCCTTCAGTCACTGGTCCCATCCAGGTGCCGCAACAATATCCGTTCATCCCAACACATAGACGCCAGGAGACAAGTGTTCCTATCAATGGAAATCATTACGAGGTTGCACCGGAGTTTCCAGCTCACTTGACTTCGATGGAATCAAGCATCAGTGAGCCTGGGACGGAAGGGACAGTAGACCTCGTGAAACCCGCGGGTGCAATGGCAGATGGCGGCACGTACACCTGCACGTACCACGGCTGTACCCTCCGTTTCGAAACTCCCGCGAAGCTGCAGAAGCATAAGCGAGAAGGACATCGGCAGTCTACGCCTCAGACAGCTGGCGCAGGCATGACATCAGCGGCGCTCATGCGAAATAGTCAAGCAGGTCCTCACAAATGTGAGCGGATCAACCCATCAACTGGAAAACCTTGCAACACAATATTTTCACGACCATACGATCTTACGAGACACGAAGACACAATCCATAATGCCAGAAAGCAAAAAGTTCGCTGTCGTTATTGCACAGAGGAGAAAACCTTTTCGCGCAATGACGCTTTGACTCGGCATATGCGTGTTGTCCATCCGGAGATCGAATTTATGGGCAAAGTACGTCGAAGACATCAAGAATAGAAAACGAAAACGAAAAGAAAAAAAGAAAAAAAGAAAAAAAACAGCAGAGAAAGAAAAGAAAAAGAAAAAAGAAACAGGAAAGGAAGAACAAAAAGGAAAAATTAGTGTACTATTTCTGTGTACATTGAATCCTGTATTATTTTTGGGTGAATGTGCTTACTCAGCGGGCGTTCTTATCTGAACCCGATTTATATTTGATTGCACGCGATGAATTATGACGACGTTTCCGATAATGCCTCCTGGGTTAGGATTGATTAAATCGCATTTTCTCCTAATGACCTTACGAAAACATCACGATTGTTTTATTTTATTTCCTCCCTTCGCAACCCTTTTGTTTTGCAGCCAAAAATTTAATGCAAGCGAGCTGTCGATAGTTTCTCCGCTTTTTTTAACTGTTATGTTGACAGCCTAGACTAAATATTCATTGTCTAAAATAATCACTTTTGCATAATCCACAATAAAAAGTATTTTATTTTTGGGAACAATCCAAGGATGATCTTGAGAAATAATGAACTAATGAACTATGAATCTTGTTTTCCTTGCTCGGCCGCAATTGTTCGTGCTGCCAGCTCATTGATAATTTAGTTTCAAATTTCACCCATAACTGCCTCCTACTATAAGTGTTAGGGTATCCTATTGATTTCGGTCTACTAGTGTGAGAAACTTACCCTGGCGTGCTTGTATAGAGGCGTAATGCCAGTCCAATATTCAAACTACTTTATTTAGCAAAGCTCAAGCAATCCATTGAAGATGAGATTCGTAACGAACCTGATACAGACCCTGCCCTGTCAGAGCCTCCAAACCGGGAATTGTGACCCATCCTGCATCTTCGGCAAGCTGCATCAGTGCAGTAACACGCGGTTTATATGCCATTTCAAGCAATATGCTTAGCTGCCGACCTGCCTTCTTTGGGAGATAAAAGATTCGAGCAAGCACTTCTCGCATATTCTGCTCGATTGGCCCATCGGCAGGAATGGTCCCTACGCCGACAATTGGCACGCTCTCCAACTCGTTGACATGTTCAACAGCAGTAAGCATTTTTAGGTTGTATGAATCTGGGAAAGAATCCTTAAGGACAGTGAGCTTTTCGGCAGATCGCCCCACAAGATAAATAGGGGAATATCCCATAGATTTCAGAGCAAAAATCGCTGCTCTAGCGGTTCCACCTCCTCCAATTACCATCGCACTTTGCGTGCCAGCGGATTCAAGAGCGCCTGCATTACGCAGGGAATGTATCATTCCTTGCCAGTCGGTGTTTCGTCCTACAAGCCGATTGGAACCATCGGTTGACGACCTTTCCACCACGACGGTGTTGACCGCGCCAATTATATCTGCTTCGTATGAAATTTCGTCTAGCAGAGGAATGATGTCAAGCTTTAGGGGAATTGTAACAGAGGCACCGCCGAAGTTCTCGGATCTAATCACGCTCCTCAATTGCTCAACATTATCGGTTTCCAAAAGATGGTATTTATGAGGCAAGCCGACCCTCCCAAAGAGGCTATTGTGGAGAGCAGGGGATCGTGAAGCTGTAATTGGCTTTCCAAAAAGATAAAAATCTTTCTGCTCTATTTCACCGATGTGTGAGAGCACGCCGCGAATTTCAGCGGCAGAGAGTTGACCGGGCGCAGCTTTGAATGGCAATGCTGGGTGGGTAACGGGCGTCAAGAAGGTGTTGAGAACTCTGCTGAGCTTCCCTTTCTCGCCCATGTTGATTGCTATGATCTTAACATTGTGCGCCGCTTCGCCCCAGGATCGGAATTTTGCAAGAGCGAAATTGTCTTCCAGTCGAGACGCACAGCCAACTAATTTTATCACGTCGCCATAGCGCAAAGCTTTGTTGTAAGTAGGGACCCACGATCCAGTTTCCCAGGACAGAAGACCCTGAGGGTCGTGGTGCGATGCAATGATCCTTGAATTCCCCTTCTGCTCTGTGAGTTGATCCAGCATGTCCTCCGGCCATTGCAGCTCAAGATCAATGAACTCGAGTCCCATCCTAAACGCAGCTTGGTAGAGTCGGAACGCTTCATATTCTGCGCCATCAGGGAAGTTTCCGCCCTGCGAACGAGTGCGAATCGTGAATATTACAGGAATAGACACATGCGATCGGAGTAGCGCCAGCTGTTCAATGACATAATCCAGAGAAGGTATTTGGCTCGGCGAATTCGGATCTTTTAACAAGTCAACCCTCAATTCTATTGCATCTGAGCCAACGACGATCTCTCTTAGCAGATCAATTTCGAGCCGGATGTCAGGAATCGTCAAAGAGACAAAGAAAGAGCGCTCCTTAGTGTTCAAGTTTTCCAGGCACTTTCGCTTTCCTGTAACCACTTTTAGGAAGCTGGAGAAATCCGGCGTGGGGAGGTCGACTCCGTTAGCATGCACATCGGAGCTGAAATACTGGAAATTGCTACACTCCCGATACCAAGGTTCTCTTCTTTTCCAGACGTTCAAAATATCTTCTGCATAAGCGGGGCGAGACTTGTCAAGGTTAAGATACTCCAACACTTGTTGTTCATTACGGTGCACCAAGAGGATCACACCGCCCTCGTTTTTGTACTTCAAGAGAAGCTGTCGAGCTTCCGGCGTCTCCACAACTCCTCCTCCGCAGGCTATGACATGGCCGTAGGATTTTTCTTTCAAGACACGCTGGAGTAGATTCAGCTCGGCGCGTCTGAATCCTTCCCAGCCTAATTGCCTTATAATACTTGGAATTTCTTTGGCTTCAGTCTCTTCCAACTCAGCATCTAGATCAATTAGCGGCCATCCCATCAGCTGAGAAGACCATCCGCCAATGGTCGTTTTCCCTGCGCCTCTCATACCAATGATTACGATTGAGTTCGCCGGTGACTGGCTATGTTGCTTTTCGCCATGAAAAGAGCGCTCAGGCTCAACACCCTCAAGGGAAGCTTCGAATATCCTGGCAAGGACATCCCACCAGCCAGGCCATGTTTTGCTGACGCAGCTTCGTTCCAAAATTAATACTGGTTTCGGTGCTGCCAAAGAGAAAACGCTGAAGCTCATTGCTACGCGATGGTCATCGTAGCAAAACACGCCTTCCGTAGGATCCTTAAGCGTCTTTCGGTCGATTCCATGAACTTCAATTCCATCGTCAAGCTCCCTGCACACAACGCCGAACTTCGCCAATTCATTTTTCATAGCCTTTATGCGATTACATTCTTTGACGCGCTGATTAGCAATGCCAGTTATTCGCGTTACGCTTGAATCAGCAGGATCAGCACTCTGCGCAACGGCCGCCAGGACGGAAGCAGTTAGAAATGCATCAGTCATGGGTTCCATATCAATTTCAGGAAGTGGTCGCAGCTTGCCATCGGTCGGGCCTGTAACGGTAGTGGATTGGTCTGTCTGTTCTACGAGACAGCCCATCGGCCGAAGAACATCTGTTGCAAACCGGGCATCGCCCTGGAGTGATTTTGAGCCAATGTTCGGCACTGTGCAAGTCGTGCCGGTAATTGCTGCAATAGCCAAAGGGTAAGTTGCGGAACTAGCGTCACTTTCGACCATATAATCAGGGGGATTTGTGTAGCCACGATTCGGAATGTGATAAGTGTGCTCTTCGGACGTGGACCGAACGACTTGCACGCCAAATGATGCCATCATAGCAATAGTCATATCTATGTATGGTTGCGATATCGGCTTACCGCCCGTGAGACGAAGCGTAACTGGCGATTTCGCATATGGCGCACACATGAGAAGCGCGGACACATACTGCGACGAGATTGTAGCTGCAAGAGTGATGTCCCCTCCTGTAAGACCTCCACAAGCCGGGACATTGACAGGAAGGCTCCCAGGCCTTTCGAGCGACGTGACATCCATACCATTTGCCCTTAGAGACTCTAGTAAGGGACCAATAGGGCGTTGCTTCATACGCTTGTTGCCAGTCAAAATCGTCGAGCCTGCTGTCGAAGGGCTTGCAAGGGTTGCGACAGCCGTTAGGAATCTCGAAGCTGTCCCTGCATTGCCTAGGTAGACAGGACTAGGGCTGGCATGTAGATCTCCTCCTTTGCCAGTAACTACTAAAACCTCTCCCTCATCCTCCCAGCTGTAAGTGGCAGCCCCGAGTTGTTGGAGAGCTGTCAGCATGACCTCAGTATCGTCTGAATGGAGAAGGTTTCTAATCCGACAGGATCCTGAACCGAGCGCCGCAAGAACGAGGGCGCGGTTCGAAATGCTTTTGGATCCAGGCGGGGTACAGGATACTTTGAGGGTCTTCGGAATATTTGGCGAAACTGAGACACTCGGAGAAAGTACTAGTCGAATATCGCGATCAGCGACTACGCTGGCCTTGGGTTCAAAGGTGCTCCCAATTTCTGAAAGTAACACTATCTTCTTCTTCTTCCCCTCATTCTTTTTATCCACGGCCATGATAGACAGCAGCTTATCAACTGGGCAATGCTTGTCAGCCGTAAGCTTGCGGATTCTAGCATCATCTAGCGCCGTCGGAAGACCGTAAGACGTGAGACATTTGGCAAGCCTGGCAACGGCTCCGGGCTTTAGAATGCCAAGATAACGGGCAAGCTCGGCTTCCTTTATCATGCCGATAGAGACGCATTCGCCATGCAGCACCTGGGGTGTCAAAAGTGCTTCAATTGCATGGCCGATTGAATGCCCGAAATTGACAAGATTCCTGAGGCCGCCTTCACGCTCATCAGCAGAGACGACATAGGCTTTCACTCGCACTGACCCAAGGACCATCTGCATTAACTTGGAGCGGATTTTGTAAAACGACTCTTCGTTTCGACTTTTTCTGCTCCTTATGACCTGCATAATCTCTTCGGCGTTGTTTTCTAACACCTCAAATTCATTGACGTCCCAAATCGCAGCGGTCTGTTAGTCTTGTCAGTAGAATCCTGAGATGAACGGGGGATTGTGTTCATGGTGCACCTTGATGACTTCAGCCATGCCGTTGATGAATTCTCTTTCTGGCAAGGTGACAAGGAAACGAAGGTCGATGTATATACGCGCTGGTTGCCAAAAAGCACCAATGAGGTTTTTTCCCAGTGGGGTGTCGATTGCAGTTTTTCCTCCTATGGATGAATCGACCATTGCTAGCAAACTTGTGGGTATTTGAATGAAACGCACTCCCCGCATGAAAGTAGCTGCAACGAAGCCGATCAAATCTCCGATAACACCTCCACCGAGCGCTATCACAACGGTATCCCGTGTACACTGGTTCTCCAGCATCCAGGTCTCAACCAGCTCTTTCGTGGCAGCTGACTTCGCTGACTCTCCCGGTGGAATTTGATAAGTAAGGAGCCTTGCATCTGCACCTGAACGAGCGGTTTCCTCTGCGAAGACATTCTGAAACTCGGAGAGATAGAGAGGTCCAATGGTCGTATCTGTGACTAGAACGTACGTGGATGATGTGATATTCGAAAGTAAATCTTTGGCTATCAACGATCGCCATATGTCAAACCCTATGACGATACTCTCCTGGCCGAGGATGGAAAGTTTCACGGGCGGTTCCCGGCCCCGTGGTGGATCTTCCATTGCGCTGACCTTTGCGATTGCTTGCAGGATAGTAAAAACCTATCTAACAGGCTATGATTAGCATGGCACCCAGGTAAACGTGGTTCGCAATGCACCTCTAGCCTGGCTTACTTGTTATTGTACATTAAAGAAAATGACAACCGAGAAAGAGGTCAAACGGAGGTCCGTTTTGGTGAAGTATAGAAAATGCAAATTAGGCCAGTCCTGGTTTGAACTAGCTCTGCTAGTGCTTTGTGAGTGGAGAGGCCTAAGACTTCCAGTAAAAATACTCACGGTACCCTTAAACCTGATATTTTACTTTGTACCTGCTCATGATAGTAGCATGAACCATTTTGTAGCTAATATGCTGGAAATAATGCCATTGTTGATTGGTGGGATTTATATTATGGTTCCGATATCGGTAGTTTTGCTCTCGGGAAAGTATATAGTAACATGATCAACTACATACTATAATGTATTTTACAGGCAATCTAGAGACTTAAGCAACAACAAGTAGAAAAATATAATTTTATAAAATTCTAATAATAATATTAACTTATTACTTCAAGTTGGAATTAAGTATCATAATTTTCTTAAAATATAATTGTATTTATACTACAATAATAGAAAGATTTTAAAAATATATTTTCAAAATAAAAAATAAAATTAATTTGTAATTAATAAATAAAATCAAGTTTATATATTTAATTCATTACTTAAATATCTTTTATATAATTCAATAAATAAAATTAAATAAAACTTTAATGATAAAAAAATTTTTAAGATCACTTACATATAAATAATATAAAATTTTAAATTATTTAAAAAAAATTTAAAAACAAAATATAAATTTAAAATTAATAGATATAAATTTAAAAAAAATTTTAAAAAATTTTAATTATAATAAATATATCCATATATTAAAAAGATATATAAAATAATTTAAGTATTTATAGATTAAAACTAATTTATATTATTTTTATTTATAGTATAAGACTATAGATATAATATAATAATAAATAAAATAAAAATCAAAGCTACTACAAAATAATAAAATCTTTTACTATAATAAATAATTAAGTAAAAATAAAAAAAGTAAATAAAACATATTATAATTACTATATACTCTAGCTTAGTTATATATTTATTAATATTTTCTATTGAATAGAGCCTTAATAATTATTAAATAATTATATCTTTTAATTATCTACTTAATTACTATACTTTTAGATCTTGATTTTATAAAATATAATATATAATCTATATTTAATAATTTAAATTACTTATATTGAATTTAAATTTTTGATAATTTTATAATAATATTAAATTATATTAAATAAAGTAAAATAATTTAAAAATAATTTGTAATTAATTTGAAATAATAAAAAATATATTATTTAGAGTATTATATTTTACTTTTTATATTTTTATTTATATTATTACTTTTCTTAATAACTTGTTTGAAAAGTTTTTTTAAATAGCTCTATTTTAATATTTTATTATTATATTATATATATAATTTTATAATTAGTAATAATAAAATTTTAAACTTAACTAAATATAATACTTGAAAAATAAAATAAAATTTAAAACTTAAAACTTTTTAATTATTTAAATTAATAGTTTATAACTATTAAAAATAATTATATAAAGTTAAATTTAGCTTAAAAAGTATTATAACAGAGGTTTAAAGATTATTTTAATTTAATTTTAAGTATAAAATAGTTTTAAGTTTAAAATAGTTTTAAATTAACATATTTCCCAAGTGACCTGATCACCCAAGTGACCTGATCGGCCCCCCCTAATGTACTCAATACAGGCTAATTGAAGCTATTCAGAATGTAACAATGCCACCAAAAGTGTGTCAAAATTCAAGAAATTTGGTGGAGCAGGAGGGGAGGATACAACTAGCAATAGACACATTCAAAAAATCCAACATTTCAAGCATCAAGGAAGCAGCATGGGTTTATACTATTCCCTACACCACTTTGCAAGGCTAACTAAATGGTGCCTCTTTCCAGACCCAGCAGTAGGCTAATAGTCATAAACTGACAGCCAGTGAAGAGGATATACTTTTAAAGTAGATTCTCTCTATGGATTCATAAAGATCACCTCCTAGGCCTGCAATGGTTCAGGAAATGGCTAACATTCTACTCACAGAGTGGAGAGCTTTCACCACCATACTAGTCAGAAAAAATTGGATCAGCAATTTTATTAACTAGAAGGATGAGATCTAGTCCAGATATTCCAGGAGATACAATTATGAGCAGGCCAAATGCAAAGATTTGTAGGTCATTTGTAAATGGTTTGCATGTGTCCAACAAGCAATTGTAGAATATGGCATCCCCTTGGAGGACATCTACAATTTTGATGAGACAGGCTTTGCAATGGGCCTGATCACTATAGCAAAGGTGGTTACAAGAGCTGAATACTATGGAAAAAGGCTCCTTTTACAATCTGAGAATTATGAATGGGTCATAGCAATTAAGACAGTCAATGCATGTAAATGAGCTTTACTACCTGTTATTATATTCATGGAAAAGGTTTATATGCAGGCCTGGTATAAAAACCTAAATCTTCTCCATGATTGGAGGATTGAGACAAGTGCTAATGGATAGACTACTAATGAAATTGGGCTATCCTGGCTCAAAAATCTCTTTATTTTATATACCAACACTTAGATTAAGGGGAAATATTAGCTTCTCATCCTGGATGGCCATGGCAGCCATCTTACACCTTAATTTGACCAGCTCTGCATGGAGAATGACATCATACCTGTCTGCATGCCTGTACATTTATTACATATATTACAACCTCTAGATGTTGGCTGTTTTGTTGTTTTGAAGTAGTCTTATAGGCACTTAGTTGAGAAGAAGGCATAGCTATGCATTAACTACATTGATAAATTAGACTTCTTGTCAATATATCTACAGGCCTGTACAGAAGCCTTTGAACAAGATAATATCAGGCATGGATTCAAAGCAACAGGATTATTTTCCTTCAACCTAGATCATGTCCTAGAACACCTTACAATATAGCTGAGATCTATAATATCTTCTGGAGACACTCCAGCATCTACTGTCAATTGGACACCAGAAACACTATATAACATTGCTAGATTAATTCAACAAGCAAGCACAATTAGAGCACTGTTGAGGTAGCACTCTAGGACCCCTCTAAGCCCTAAAAACATAGCACTAAATCAGTTGGTTAAGGGGTGTGAAATGACTATGAATTCTGCAGTTATTCTAGCTAAAAAGAACACAGATTTGCAAGCTGTTAACAACAAATTGAGCAAAAAGCACAAAAGAACAAAAAACAACTGAATATACAGGGTGGAATCACTGTTGGAGAAGCTCAACAGCTGCTTAACAGTCAAAATCCACCTGTGCAGCCAGAATCCTCAGCACAGGCCCCAGCACTAACCCTGGCAGCTCCACCCCGAAAAAGAGCCCCTCCAAGATATAGCAATTGCAAGCAAGTAGGGCATACAATTCTGCAGTACCCTACCAGACCTGTTCCATAAAAATATGTATTTTAGTCAAATTTTAGATGTAATAAAGCTTCATTCTTTGCAAGAATTGATTGCATTTGGGGGGGGCCGATCGGGTTGCTTGGGCAATCAGATCACTTGGGAAATATGTTATGCTTAATAATTTAATTTAGTTTAAGTAAATTAAAATTTAACTAAAAATTAAAATAATTAAAAAAGTAAAAAAAATAAATTTAATAATTAATTTTTTATTTGAAATTAGTTTACTCTCAAAAGCTCAATATTATATCAATGAATTAGAAAATCTTTTTTTAAAAATAATTTAAGATGAAAAATATATATAGTAGAAAAAAAATAAAATTTTTTTTAGCTAGAAGTTAAATTTAAATACTTTAATACTTTTAATATTTTTTTCAAATGATATATTATTTAATTTAAATTTTTTCAAATTTTTTCACAAGTTTTTTTGTTTTTATATTGTTTAATTAAAAAATAGCTTTTAAAATTAAATTATTTTAAATTTAAAGTTTTTTAATAAAAAATTTTTTTAATTTTTTTAAAAAAAATTAAAACAAATCTAAAATTAAATTTAATTAAAAAAATTAAAATAAAAATTAAATAAAATAATTTTTTTTTCAAAATTAATTATTTATATTATTTTAAACAAAAATATAATTAAATATAATTAAATTAAATGTTTAATTATTTTATAAATAATCAAAATATTTTATTTTATTTTATTATTTATATTATATATAGTTTTAAAACTATAATAAAGTATATAAATTAAAATATATATAATATATTTTAAAATTTCTAATTACTTTAAAATTAATCAAGCTAATAATAAATATCATCTATCAAAATAATATAAAAAAATAATAATCCATTCATAAATAGTAAAAAAAAGATAAAATTAAAGAAATAAAAGTAATAAAAGAGAGTTAAAGTTTAGGTTTTTTAAAAACCAGAATCTGGTTTTTTTGCTTTGAAATTTTCAGATACTATTTTTTTTAAATTTATTCTAGTTTTATAATATATCCTATTGATATTGTTTTTTAATATAATAATTATTTTTTTAATACTATTTTAGTAGTATTTAAATATTTTAATAAAAAGTTTATTTGTTTATTTATTTATACTATATACAGCTGTAAAATTAAAACAGAGTCTGGAATTTAAAGTACATATAATATGTGTGAAATTTTATGAAATTATTCTAGAATTAATTAAGCTGATAATAGATATTATCTATCAAAATAGTACAAAAAAAGAAAAAAAAATAATAAAAAAAAGTTAAATTTTAGTTTTTTCCTCTTTCAAACCAAAATCTAGTTTTTTTACTTTAAAGTTATTAGACTATATTTTTTGTTTAAAGTTTATTTCAGTTTATAGTATATTTTATTAATATTGTTTTTTTTAATATAAAATAATTATTTTCTTGATATTATTTTGGTAGTATTTAAAATATTCTAGTAGATAATTCTAGTTTATTTTAATATATAGTAGTTTCAAAATAAAAACTTTTTTTTTTGCTTTTTGTAATAAAACTTTTTTTGTTTCTTTTGTTTGAAAGCAGAATAATACTTAAATATCTTTTATATAGTTTAATAAATAATTTTAAATAAAATTTTAATTATATAAAAACTATTTAAATTATTATTTAAAAATTTATAATTAATAAATTATTTATTAGTTTCAAAAAAGTTTTTTTATAATATTAATTTTATTTAAGTTTTATTTAATTAAATTTAATTAAATTTTAAATTTAAGTTTATTTTGATTTTTTTTTTTAGTTTTTTATAAATTTGTTGAAAAAAAATTAATTAAAAA